TCATTTGATTAAATACTTACCAGAAATGAATATTATTTATGATGAAACAAAGAGTTATATCGAAAGATTTGAGGTTTTACATTACGTTCATTAATTCTAAAGAATAATAATTAAAAAAAATAATAGTACAATATTCTGAATAGCATCGATGGTGGTCTAACCTTAATTAACTCATAAATCCAACTTTTACATTTGTTTCATTTTTAATTTAGTTAATCAGTAGATTTGACAGTATATAAATACTAAATATGAAATGAAAATATATAGGGTTTTATTGATTAGCATTTTATTTTCTATCCGTTGTTTTGATTTTAGAAAAAAATTATGATATACCTGAGTTTATAGAGTTGAGATCATGAGTCAATTGAAGCTAGACTACCATGGAAAACCTGGAAGCACTGGACGGTCGTTTCGTCCTATTATGGGACTCCTCAGCAGTGCGCATCCATGAACCTGCTCTCGCGAGCGAGATTCGAACCCAGGACCTACCAGTCTCGAGCCGAAGCCCTTAACCGATAGACCACTGAGCTGGCATCCAACGGTGTTAATGTCTAACTTCAACTGATTCACGAAATTGAGCAACCATTCACCAATGTCATCAGTGAGTTCCTATCTCACAACAGACCTGGTTGAACTCCTTGAGGTATTTCCTGGAGTTCTAGTGAGAAGCAGTAACCGGTGGAGTTCAACCAGGTCTGTTGTGAGATAGGAACTCACTGATGACATTGGTGAATGGTTGCTCAATTTCGTGAATCAGTTGAAGTTAGACATTAACACCGTTGGATGCCAGCTCAGTGGTCTATCGGTTAAGGGCTTCGGCTCGAGACTGGTAGGTCCTGGGTTCGAATCTCGCTCGCGAGAGCAGGTTCATGGATGCGCACTGCTGAGGAGTCCCATAATAGGACGAAACGACCGTCCAGTGCTTCCAGGTTTTCGATGGTGGTCTAGCTTCAATTGACTCATGATCTCAACTCTATAAATTACTAAAATCTTCACAAAACCCCTTCTGATATACCTGAGTTGCCTATTATTTATACTTGAAGCAAGGAACAATTAATATTCTCACAACCTAAAGTAAGTGTATGGAAGACTGGTACAAACGGACATTTATTCACTCCTTAACTGATGATGATCATAATCGAAAATACACTCATTTATTTATTGATTTGTACACCCTATGATTATTATGTAGAAAAAATTTTAGATACATGAACAACGCTCATAATTATAATGAAATCACTTACTTTATGTAAAAAAAAATTGACTGTCTCCAGAAACTAAAGTTGGATGCCACCCAGCTCAGTGGTCTAGAGGTTAAGCGTTCATGCGAGAGACCGATAGGTCCTGGGTTTGAATCTTGCAAGGCAAAACCGTGGATGAGCACTGCTGAGGTGTCTTACAATAGGACAAAACAGCCGCCTCCAGGTTTTCCATGGTGGTCTAGCTTCAATTGATACATGATCTCAATTATTAGAATCTTTATTTGTTTATGGGTTTTCTTTTCAGCAGACAATCATTTCCTGGTTGAAATTTTTTTTTGGAATTTAACTACTGAAAGGAAATGAACCATATGGCTCTAATCTTCACAGGGTAGTAAGTCAAGACATAGATAATATACATGTACCTGATAACAATATATTATAGTAGATGTATTGAAAACAAAAAACAAACAAACAAACAATAAATCAGACCGATTTCAATTAATCCCACGTTAGCATTTATAAGGTATCATATTTATTCATAATATGAAGTAAATTCTTTCAATATAGCTAAGTTTCGATCGAATACAGAACAAGTAACCTATTCATATATTGACCTTAAATTCCCCTTTAAGTTTATGATTCATTCTTGTTATATTTAGTTCATGTTAAACTGTTTTAACATTTGATTCTCCGTATCAAATCTATTTGGTCGGAAAGAATAGAATGATACTTTTGAAAATGTATAATTATAAAAGATAATCTGTTAACTCACAGAATTATATGTTCCATGATCTGTTTTATGATATATATGTATATGGTAAAGTATAAAGTACCAATGATCTTAAAACAACCTTGATTGACCGCTATCTAGTTTTTTATCCAAACAAAAACAGTTCATTTGAATAGATAGCTTACGGAAAAGAAAACATTGACATTACAAATTTAAGACAAACTTTTAAGAATTATTGAGTCAAAAGAGGTTTTGTGGAGATTCTAGTAATATTTTAGTGAATAAGAAGACAAGTGAGAACTATCGAATGTTTTTAACACGAAAATTACAGTCTATCTCACTCAAAATAATCTTGACCTTTCCTTCTGCAAATATCAGTCTCCGATTATTATTGTCCATGCATTTTCATACCAATTGCGTTTCGTTTCCGTTCTCTCCTTATCGATTTTCTACTGAAATACATTCTCTGCCTGACCATCTTCATATAGTGCTTCATATATACTCAATATAGCCTTAATTCACAAGCATTATAAGCAAACATAAATAGTGGCTAACAGTGGAATCCAGGATGCGCGTTTCGTCCTATCTCATACTCGTCAACTGAATGTAAATGCATGTCAGGGTAGATGTTCACTCTAGGAATCAAAACCAGTAAAGTCCACTCCAAAAGCCACTGCGCTATCTACTTAGCTACGGTGTCCTGATAGCTGACAAGTCTCAAATAAGACGAAAAGTGCGTCCTGGATTCCATTGCTAACCACTATTCATCTTTATCTTAAAATTCATTGTATACTATTATAATTAAACCAATGGCATTTTTAAACTTCACGTGATACTTTCAATTAACAATTCAATATGTAAAAATGTACAAATGATATTTGTTTTTAAAAAACGTCTTTCAGAAAATTAAAAATCGTGAACATTATTAACTCCGCCTGTAGCTCTTCTAGAGTTACTGCCGGTCCCAAGCCCGGGTAAAGGAGGAGGGTTGGGCATGGGGTTAGCGACCCCATCCCTTAGAAAAGCTAACTCACTAAAGAAACGCTAACCAGAAAAAATCATTCAAACCATTTAAACTCTGCCCTGGCACTTGAAGGAATAATTATGACGTCTCATGATGAAAGCCGAAATTCTTCGGAAGTCACTAGACCGATGCACCTTCTAACAACCGGAGCAACACTCTTGGTACATGGAACGTCCGGACAATGTGGGAGACAGGAAAGACTAGCCAAATAGCAATGGAAATGAGGAGATATAACTTGGCAGTAATCGGAATCAGCGAAACCCATTGGACAACAAAAGCTAGGTACAAGAGAGATGTTGCTGTACTCCTGTCACGAATGGGAAAATGCTCCACACACTCAAGGAGTTGCTCTAATGCTGTCCAAAGAAGCACGAAATGCACTTGTGGGATGGGAATCTCATGGACCCAGGATAACCAAAGCATCATTCAGAACAAAAAAACAAAGGATCACAATGAACGTTATCCAATGTTATGCACCCACCAACGATAGCAACGACGATGATAAAGATCAGTTCTATGAAAGGCTTCAATCAGTTATAGAGAAGTGCTTACGAAAAGACCTCACCATCCTGATGGGAGATCTAAATGCTAAAGTTGGAGTGGACAACACAGGATATGAAGATGTAATTGTACGACATGGACTAGGAGAGAGAAATGAAAATGGCGAGAGACATGTAAACCTATGTGCATTCAACAAATTGGTTATAGGCGGCACAATATTCCCACACAAGCGCATACACAAAGCTACATGGATCTCACCGGACCGAACCACAGAGAACCAGATAGACCAGATAGACGGCCGTTTTGTCTTATTGTGGGACTCATCAGCACGAAACGGCCATCCAGTGCTTCCAGGTTTTCTACGGTGGTCTAGCTTCAATTTACTCACGCTTTAAACTATGAAAATAATAAATATCCACAAAACGTCTTCTGATACAGTATAGACGGAATGTAGTTTGCGATCGGATTCAAAAGGCTTGTATACTGCTATTTAAAATTCGTCAGCTTGATGTTAAAACGGGGACTCGAGATCTTCACCGTCAATTAAAAAGGAACATGAATTATTCATTTAATGACCGGTTCCAGATAGTCACTTACTTGTGGAAGGTGTATTAGTTTTGATTTATTTTTAGATTATTCGGGTTATTATTATTATTATATGTCACATGAGGCCATAGTGGCTGTATGTTCCCAGGCAATTCGTTTAAGATGTGCATATATTAACGAAGACGGCTGAAATTTGAGTCAAACCTCACGATAGGACGGATAATTTCAAATTGAATTGAAACCTACATAAACGTTTACAGAAATATAGTAATAAAGATAGCGACAAAAACGGGGTACTTCGAAAGCATAATACTCATATTCCTAATTTCATACAAAATTTTCATGATCTTGTCAGGAAATAGCTATAACACAAATTGATTACAGCTTAAATACTAACATTTACATCAGTTGAATTTTCTGGAGAGACACTTGATGAATGAAAATAACAGTTATAGTGTGATGTCGGCTACTTATATCCACATAAGTAGTATATGGCAATAGTCAGGCATAGAATGTATTTTGGCAGAAGATCGATAAGGAAAGAACAGAAATGAAAAGCAATCGGTATGAAAATGCATAAACAATAAAATCAGAGAAGATGGACTGATATTTACAGAAGGAACAATCAAGGTTGAGACATTTCATTGATAGTTTGCAAAATAACTGTTTACTGTATGGTTATCAGATCTTAGTAAGATAGTCTGTAATTTGTGCTTAAATACGTTCGGTTGTCCCCACCCGTGTTCTCGTTCACTACAATAGTATACATTGTGATGCGTATTACATATATCGACATAAGTATTATATAACGCTAATCAGGAATAGAATGTCTGATATCACATGGTCAAGAAGATCGAGGAGGAAAGAACAGAAACAGAAATCAATTATTATGAAAATACAGGAATAATGAAGTCTGAGACTATTGATTGACGTTTACAAAACGAACAGTTAAGTTTGAGACAATTGATTGACATTTTGTAACTGAAGTATTCACTATATGGTTTTCAGATTTTACTAAGATTTTGTGTTAAAAAATACATTCGATTGTCCCTACATGTACACTTGCTTACAACCATAGAACAAACTGATTAGATTGACCATAACTCCTTATGTTTATTTTATCAATAAAAAAAAGAAAAAAGAACAATTCACAACAATTAACAAGTTAATAAAGAACTTATCAGATATTCTGCATTTTACAATGATATACTGTGATAAATTACATTATAATATGTGTATATATATATATAGAGAAAGGGAGTGAAAGAGAGCAATCCTTATAAATATAGGCATACATTGAAATAAGGCATGGAAAAGCTAAAAAAAAAAGAGGGAATACATGTCGCATATACATGTATATGCATGTAAAATTAAGCAAAACGGTTTGGGGGGGGGTAAAAACAAACACATTTACACTTTACTTTTATTTTCTTCAAAAGTTTATATAGAAATTAAAATTCAACTATTAATTGAAGGTATATTCTTAATAGTCAGTTATGAACTCTTACATTATATTAATTATCGGGATCATCTTTATACATATTTATGATATATGGAATGTTTTCGTTATAATTGTTAAAAAAAAAACAAAAAAAAATCATAACCCCTCAAATGATAACCTTCTTCAAAGTATTAAAATTCATAGTATCTATGTAGATATCGTGAATTAAAACAAAGCAGATTAGTGCAAATAATCATAAAGAAACTGATTATGGTATGTTTGTTTGTTTATTTATTGATTTATTGATTTTTTTCCATAAATTTTTATTGTATGGTTATGGGGGGGGGAAATTTACAACCCAAAGAGAGTACTTTCTTTTATCTATTTTTTTTCTTTTTTCTTTTCTTTTTTCTTTTCTTCATTTTTATTATTAATATTCATAATAACATAATTAATTATCTTGATAATGAACGTAAATTATACCGTCCAAATAAAATTTTTCTAAATGCATTACGAAAATCTGGTGAAAATATTGTATATATAATTGGATTTAATAATGAATTAGAATAACCTAACCATAATATCATACTTTGACCAAATTTTGTTATATTTAAATTATTTATAAATGGTGATATTAATGCAACAATAAAAAATGGTAACCAACATAATAAAAAACATCCAGTTATAATAGCTAATGTTAATATTGCTTTACGTTCACGTTTAGCTTCTAAACGTTCACGATTTACTTGTGTTTGTTGTATTGGAATTAAATTAGATGTTATAGTTATATCATCATCTTTTAATGTTAATGTGGTTGGGGTAAGTAATTGCATTTTTATATTATTATTATTTTGATTAGTTGTAGTTAATGTCATTGTATCTGAGTTAATATTAGATGGTAAATTGGATGTAGATTGACTTACTATATGATGCTTATTATTATTATTATTATTATTATTATTGTTACCATGTAAATTAAACATATGACAGAATTTTTTTCGTAAATTCAATTGGTTCTTTGATGGTTTCAATGAGAAATTATTACCAGTTCTCATATTATTCTTATTACTATTATTAGTATAGTTAATTATGGTAGTAGTAGTAGTGATAGTCGGGCTAATAGTATTTTGTTTATAATATGAATGTGATAGCTTAGAAGTTCGATCTATTGACTGTAAATACAATTCATTATTATTACTCGAAGTTACGTAATCTGATGTGTAATTTTTATGTTTATCTATACAACAATATGATAAATGTTTCCGATGATTTATGATTAAATTTTTATCTTGTATTAAATTCAATTGATTGACTGGATACGATTGAGGATGATGATTTGAAGAAGTTGATGTACAAGAACAACATGGATAAAAACATTTCAGTTTATTTAAGTAGTGATTTTGAACTTTACTTGATTGTTTTAATCCATTCCGTTTATCATTTTTATTAGATTTATGAAGTCGTTTATGAGAATGATGATGAATACGATGATGTAGATTATGATTATGTTGATGTTTATGATGATGATGATGATGATGGTGATGATGATGATGATGATTTTGTTGTCGATAAGATGAAAATTCTGAAAATGAAGATGGTGTTGATGGTAATGGTGAAGAAGAAGATGTTGATGTTGATGATGATGATGACCATATAATTGAATTTGTATGTTCTATAGATGATTCAATAGATTGAGAATTGGAATTAGTTATTTCAGTGAAAAATGTACTAGAATTATTTAAATGTATAAGAATTGATGGAGCTGAATATCTATATTTAGATAATAATGTTTGTTTAAATGAATCAAAGTTAATTATATAATTAATGTCATTGAAAGAATTAAATCTTTTAATTTGTTTATATTCATTCAATGTATAATCAGTATTAATAGAATGTTGTTTATGACAATAATGTAATAGAATAGATTTTGTATAATTAGGATTCTTATTCATATTATCATTAGACTGGTAATAATTGGATTTAGTTTCCATGTCATCTACATATGGTATAGTAGATACTTTATTATTATTAAATTGATTGTTGTTATAATGAATAGTATGTTTATTATTCATCATTACTATGGTTGGTATCTCTGTAAGAGTAATTGTTTTTCTTCCAATCATTGTACAATCTGTATCGGCTACTTGTGATGATGATGGATTCTCTTGATTAGTATTATTATTACTATTTAAATAAGGATTATTTCTAGCAGGAACTAATTTAACAGAGTTTCTATTTTTGTTATCTCGACAACAATAACACCAATATGTGTTTAAATGATGTTTGAATAAATCTTGACGGTGTTGTTGTTGTTGTTGTTTAGATTGTGGTTGCTTCCATTGACTCATACATAAATTACTTGTTCCTGATTGTTTAAATGCTGAACGTCTAATACGTGCTCTAGCCACTTGATAAATTCTTGCATATATGCCTATAATAAATATCATTGGCATATAGAATGCACCAATATTTGAAAATACTGTATAACCATGTTCTTGATTAATTCGACAACTTGGTGGTTCATTTAAATTTAAATCAGATGTATAACTACCATAATTATATGATCTTGTAGTATGAAATCTTGCTGGAATTGAAATTAATACAGATAAAAACCAAAATATTCCAATCATAATACCTATTCGACGACCTGTTCTTCGACGAATATATTCTGCATTTGTTACAGCCCAGTAACGATCTAATGCTATACCGACTAAATGAAGTATTGATGCTGTACAACAAAGTACATCGGAACATACCCAAAAATCACATAATGCCTCACCTAAAATCATTGGAAGTAAAATTTTTGATAAACATGAATTAAATAAGACTTTATTATATTATGAATTAAATGTATTGTAGAAGCTTTTAATATTTAATCGTTTTCCATTATAATAAAGCTATCATCTAAACATATTGAATGTGAGACAGATATCACCAATGGGATTGTTTAATGGTCCTACAATATCAACCAATTTACTCAAGTTAAACATGTAAATCATCTCTTGCCAACTAAGTAGTCTAAATCGTTTGCCAATTTCCAATGAAACTATAATTGAGTAAGGTTGAGGAGTTTCATAATTAGATAAAACAGCTAACCAAACCTTACTTATTCTCAATGATCGCCTAAGTAATTTCAGTCTATAATGTTCAACTTCAAGTCTAACGATCACGATAACATTTTATAATAATATTGTTTTCAGCAGATGAATAAAAACTAAACTAGAGATTTCTTATATTATCGTCAAACTAAAGTTCAATATTAGTTTTGACGCTGAATAATATATTTCTCTGATCTTTATAAATAGTTATTAAGTGACTATTGGTTTTAATGTTCCCTAAAATATTAACCAGGCATTTTAAATTTATTACTTGAATTCACGAATCGATCTAGGCTGAACCACCATTGAAAACCTGGAAGCATTGGATGGCAGTTTCGCCCTAGTGTGGGACCTCTCAGCAGTTCTTATTCACGATCCCTCACACAGGGCTCAAATCCAGGACCTTCTGTCTCGCACACAAACGACTAACCTCTAGACCACTGAACCGGCATTCGAAGGTGATAATGTCTAAATTCATTTGATCCATAATATTGGGCAACACTTCATGTATTATCTGAAGTGGATAAGCGTCTCCAGCCGACACTAATTGTACCCCGTTGGTCAAGTCTTACCATTAAGAACTTCCAGAAATCTGTCTTGTAAAGAGTCACTATACAAATTGAACAGTAGTAAAACTTAACTAAATAATAAATATTAATTATAAGAAGGGGTTTTGTGGATATTCTAGTACTTTTGAATAATCGAATTCATGAGTCGAATAAAACTAGATCACCATGGAAAACCTGGAAGCGTTGGATGGCCGTTTCATTCTAGTATGAGACCCTCAACAGTGAGCATCCACACTCCTGCCCCGTGAAAATCAACCTGAAGGCCTATCAGTCTCGTGCATGAACAATTAAGATGAAGACCACTGAGCTGGCATCTAACGGAGTGCTATACTAGGACAAAACGGCCATCTAGGGCTTCCAGGTTTATTCATGATAGTCTAGCTCCAATGGACTCATGAATTCAACTATAAAATTAACGAATATTTGAATAATGTCAGAAGGGTTTTGTAGATATTATAGTGAGTTCAATAGTTGAGATTATGAGTCAGTTGAAACTAGACCACCATAAAAAACCTAGAAGCACTGGACGGCCGTTTCCTCCTATTGTGGGACTCCTAAGCGGGGCACGTCCACAATATTGCCTCGTGAGATTCGAACCCAGGACATATCGGCCTCGCGCGCGAACGCTTAACCTCTAGACCTTTGAGCTGGGTGGCATCAAACGGTGTTAATGTCTAACTTCAACTAATTCACGTAATTGAGCGACACATCCACTATTGTCTTCAGTGATTTACTATCTCACAACAGACCCGACAGAACTTCACTGGTAACTGCTTCTAATGTCACGAGGCAGGATCATGAATGTACACTGCTGAGGTGTCCCACAATAGTTCAGTGCTTCCAGGTTTTTTCATCATAGTCTAACTTTAATTAACTCATGATCTCAACTATTGAAATTAGTTTCTTGAAAAGATATCTGAAAACAAAAACAAACCAAAAAAAAATGGTTATTCTTAATTTTATCATTGAAATTTAACTAAACAATCCTATTTTTTATGACAACTTAATCATAATTTATTAAATTCAAATAGTAAAATTTAAAATTCTGAACTTTTCAAAAACAATCAAAAAAAGAAAGAAAAAAATTGAAAAAAAAATTTTCAAAATTATGTTAATTATTATTATTTTTCGGGGGGGGAAATTATTTAAATAAATCGGTTTTCTTTATTTTTCCGTTTTATTTTTTCCTTAGTTAATAATATAATTTGATCATAATAGAAAATCCTTAATATGAACAAAAGTGTATAATACTATTATTGAAGATTTATATATATTTATATACATTGTTCAATTATTATATTATTGTCAAAATGTCTAAAATGAACTTTATATAGTTAAAAACTAATCAATTTAAATATTATTTTATTATTTTAAAAAGAAGTTATTGTTTAGTTCATATAGAACAAGAGAAAAAAAAACAGTATTGAAGTAGACAGTTCCTTGTAGAGATTATTTGTGTTCATGAATCGATTGATGTTAGACCACTTTTGAAAACCTTTAAGAACAAGATAGCTGTTTCGTTTTATTATGGAGGTCCTTATCAGTGCGTATCCATGATCCCGTTCCTGAGATTCAAAACCAACGTTATATCATGTGAAGATTTATGAATGGTAACTATAAAAACTATTTATGGACCAATATGATATGTATATTTCCTATCGTATAATTGTTAAGTAACTAAATTATTCATATTCGTGTTCCTTTTATTATAAGCTTTATTTTGATCTATAAACTATTATTATACGATTTACCATCCTTGAGTTATCCCCAGTTCATTAATTACTGTTCCCCCTATTCACAACCACATTTGGCCAAATGTTGTATAAATGTTCTTTTCTATTTTATGGCATGATTTGGTCGGTTTGCTTGGTATATAAACCCAATATGTTTGAGAATAATGATTCATATTGTAGAGGCTTTTATTGGTGTTCTGTACTTAACTGGCTGAGCTAGGTAGAAAGCAGGACTGATAAGTACTCAAGACAACGCATACGGCTTTTGTGTATCATTGCTCTGATTGATAATTCACTCCTCGCTCACTGGCGAGAATCAGCACGTTCATACATCAAATAGGGCACGCTCGCACTCACACGTTATAACAACCAAGACCTTCAGTGTTAATATCTAACGTAGATTTGTTGGAGTTGAACATTTATTGAAACACCGTTTGATGCCGGCACTGTGGTCTACAGGTTAAGTGTTCGCGTGTGAGACTTAAGGTCTTGTGTCCGAATCCTGTGTGCGAAATCGTAGATTCCCACTGATAAGGAAATTTATAATAGGACGAAACGGTCATCCATTGCTTCCAGGGTTTCAATGATGGCCTAACGTATATTGATTCGTGGTCTTAATGAAAACAAAGTTTTGTTGTCAACGTATGGCGTTATTGAAATTCATTTTATTTTATCTTGAAAGAAACAATATATTTAAAAATGGGTAAAATACTAGAAAGATAAAAACAGCTACAATGGCATACAGTACATGTTACTTGTCATGTAAGAAAAGGTTGAAGATGTTCTGGATGTTTTTTATTTTTCAAAATTTTGTGTTGTTTTTCTACGATACTGCAATTTATAATTAACGGGTTTGTAACTGCCTAGAATATATATATTTATACACCTTGAAATAATGATTGAAATATATCAGAAGGGGTATTTTGTGCAGAATTTAGTAATTTTATAGCTGAAATCATGAGTCAATTGAAGTTAAACCACCATAGAAAACCTGTAAGCACCGGGCCGCCGTTTCATTTTATAGTGGGACTCTTCAGCAGTGCGCATCGACAATCTCATCTCTCAAGATCAAACTCAAAACCTATCAGTCTCGCGCGCGAATGTTTTACAGACAGTTAATATATTGTACATTTGAATTTTCTCTGTTATCCTGGAATATATAATCGAGATCATAAGAAGTGGACCTATTTCGTATAATGTCACAATATAGTTAAAGCGAACTCTACATATGTTTGTTTCCATTTCACTGAGTTGTGACAAACCAGATATATTATCTTGTTCATAACACATGTGTACCACAGTCTAATCTCGAAAGATTCATCTTCATTTATATATATATATACCTTTTGTTGTTAGATAATTAACTTTTAATCTAATCTAGAGGATAAGACTATAGTAAAATCTATCAAACCAAATTAAATTGTTTGTTTACATGTTGGATATTAAAAATTATGATCAAAATCTTCATCTGACAATTCTGATAATGATTTGCATAAATTAGTAGAATGTAAACAAGTAAATATTATACAATTTAGTGATGTTAATTTATCTTTTATTCATTGTAAATTAATTGATTGTTAACAATGTAAAACATTTAATTCTGTTTTATCCCCTGGTGAATTATGAATGGTAACTATAAGAACTATTTATCGACCAATGTAATATGTATATTTCCTATTGTATAATTGTGACGTAACTAAACTATTCATATTCGTGTCCCTCTTATTATAAGCATTATTTTGACCTATGAACTATTATTATACGACTCTTGACTTATCATCAGTCTATTGATTACTGTTCCCCCTATTCACATCGACATTTGGCCAATTATTGTACAAATGTTATTTTCTATTTTATGGCATGATATGGTCTGTTTGGTTGGTATATAAACCCAATATGACTGAGAATAATGATTGATATTGCAGAGGCTGTTATTGGTGTTCTAGACTTAACTGGTTGGGCTAGGCAGAAAGCAGGACCGAGTAGTACTCAAGACTGCTTAAACGGATTTTGTGTATTATTGATCTGGTCGATAAAACACTGCTCTCTGATAGGCGGTCATATCACTCATTTATACGACATAAAAAATCCCAATTTATATAACATATCCTTATATGAGCTTTATTCAGTATTGTGTAGCTTAAATGAAAGTCATTACTGCAATTGATCTGTCTCTTTTGACATACGTAGATCCTATACGGATGACCTCGATATTGAGGAATAAAGTCACACGAATTGACTGTTAGCCATCCATCCAACTCTGTTTATAATGCTTATAACTAGCTGTCTAAACTCAGTAACTCAGTAAATAACATGTTGGCATGTAAAGTGAACGATACTGTAATCACGTTACGTAGTGAGCATGAACACCGGGATTCA